ACACTGCTCCATGCCCCCGGGCAGAACGGGGGCACACGACACTGCTCCATGCCCCCGGGCAGAATGGGGTGGCACCCTACTCCGCACAGCCAGGAACAATGGTGCCCAGGGGCAGGGGCAGCATTTCCTCCTTAGGCTGCAAGGGCAGGGGTGCAGTGCAGAAACTCAGCCCTGGCACCAGGTCTCCTAGTCCCGGGGGCACAGGGAGGGGAAGGAGAAGGAATGGGGAAAGGGAGCGCGAGGCAGGCAGGGTCGTCTGTCCACTCAGGAGGCTGGCTGCAGAATGCAGCCCAGCAAGTTGGGGCGAGCCCGGCAGGGCCTGTGTTAGCCGGCCGGGTCCATGATCACTCCCGGCTGAGTGTCGAGCTGGCACCTGGCACCATGGGCTGGGCGCACCCCTTGCTGGTTGCACTAACGCTGCCCTGCTGAGCACTGCCACAGGAAGGCCAGGTGCCCCTGGGCTTGACCTGCTTTCTGTTGTATTTGGGGCTAGCTGCCGGGGCCCTGGAAACACCGGGGCCAGTAAGGTGCAAACAGGGTGCAGGTGCGTTTACCCACCACTGAAATGCAACCACCTCTGGGGTAGAAGGGGGCAGCTGCTCAAGACTACCCAGCATTTTAGGATAAAGCCCAAAGAAGAAGTCTGGGCAATGCGCCTCTTCAAACTGCCCTCTCCCTCTGCCAAAGCACCATGCGGGTGGCAGGGTGCGCCAGGACTGTCCTTTAGGCCAGAGCAGTCAGGGCAGGGTGCCATGCAGTGGCAGCCCAGCGTGCTACGAATGACGGGCTGGGCAGCATCCCTGGGACGGCCCGACTCTGTGCTCGTCACTTGGCCTTTGAAACGCGTCCTGTGGAGCCTCACGTGGCAGTGCCGCGGGGGAGGGGGCCAGGCTCCAGGGAGCCGTGTGGAGGGAGCAGTGCACACGCCTTCCTGGGCAGAACCGCTGACATCTCCAGCACCTTGGCACCTGGGAGGGGCCGCCCGCCTCGGCAGGTGATTGCTCAGCCTTGCAAAGGGGCCACCAGCAAGCAGCAGCTGCAGGGGAGGGAGGGGAAGATGCTGGCGTCAGCTCCCTGTGGGCTTTGAACTCCCAGGCACCAGCCTGCCGGATTCTCACAGGCCAGAGCCTGGCTCCGAGGGGCTCCCGGCCACGGTGCTGTGCATCCCGCTCAGAGCAGCGGCAGGCGCGCCCTCGGCTGCCCTCGAATACACCGTGGGACCAACAGCAGGGACAGCCCAGCCAGGCAGAGTGCCACCTTCTCCCCCAGCTGGACCGCTGCCCCTTAGTCTCCATCAGCAGCCCTCTGCTCTCCCAGTCAATGCGCCTCCACCCAGCCTGCCACCACCGGCGCTGGGCCTCTCCTGAGTGGGGAGGCGGGGGTGGGCAGGACCCCAACCCCGCAGCCCTCGAGAACAATCCCCTGGGGATGATGCTGCGTCCATGGCAGCCCAGCCTGGGCCTCCCAGCAGAAGCCTGGGCAGCCTGGGCCCTGGGCGCGGGTGACAGGCCGAGCTGGGGGCCCTGGGTCCGAGCTCCCGGCCTGATGCTAGTGAATGAAGCCTGGATCTTCCCTGAGAGGCTCCAGGCCGGCGGGGAGGGAGCGGAGAGCGAGTCCCCCCCAGCTGAGATCAGTGTGTGGCCTGTGGCAGGGGGAGCAAACCGCCCCCCGCATGGGAGAGTGCAGGCTGATGCCATGGGGCCCTGCCCCTCATGCTGCTGGGAGTGGGACCAGGGGAGCCCGCATGGGACAGAGCCAGCGTCAGAGCAGGGGCGGGCCGGGGGCTACAGGCGGAGCTGCCCCTACGGCTACAACTCACTCGCCCGCCCACGGTGGTTGGTTCGTACGTGCTGGGCCCAGCACAGAGCAGGCAGGAGCTCAGTTGCTAGGTACCCCAGCGCCAGGGCCGTGAGTGCCAGGAGCCGGCCGAGCACACCCATGGTAACCGCGCTCTGGCTAGTGCCGGGGCCTCGGGGGGCGAAGCCTGGGGCTCCCACCAGACAGCAAATGGGGCCAACGGCCCCCGCTGGTGACCCCGTATGGAGGGGGCCGGGTGGGGTAGGCCTGCCCCAACCCCATAGCAGAGAGAGTGGGGTGGGGATGTGGGGGCACTGCTCCCATGCAGACCGAGGCAGGTTCTCTGCCATCCCAACTGCCAGCCATCACCCCCCTCTCGGCCATTGGCTGGCGGCACGCGCCCGGGGCAGAAGTGCCTTATCTAATAAATTACCTAATAATCACTCCGATAAGGGGTGCTACTGGCATGAAGGGTGCAGTAAACATTAACCCGGCCAAGCCTGGCTTGGAGCCAGGCCCAGCCATGCCGGGGAGCAGGGAATAGCCCCCCGTGGGGGGCAGAGTGTGGCGCTCCACCCTGCCCCTGTGACGAGCCCCCTCCCCCGGTGTGGGAGCAGGTGAACCTGCCCTGCAGGCCCCTGGGGCTGGCCCCATGACAGCCTGGATTTCGGGGATTCCCAGGGAGTGGCGAACCCGTAGGCTGCCCCCCCGCCCGGCGCCAGGGCACTAGACCGTCCAGCGTCAAACCCCCATTTGTCAGCCCCGCACAGCCGGAGCCCAAACCGAACCGCGGCCTTTGCCCGCCAGTGAGCCAGGCACCAGCTCTGGGAACCCACGGGAGCCTGCGCGCCCCCCCCCACTCATTTCCCGGGGGCTCAGGCTCCTGCTGCTATGACAGCCCCCCCGACTCTGCCCCCCAGCTACGGAACCAGTGCTGTGGGATGATAACGGGCTGAGGCTGCATCCTTCAGCCCAGCCGTTTCCAGGCAGAGCTCCGTTCGAGAGCCGCCTCGTGACCTGTCGCGGAGGCTGCTGAGCAGAGGGGCGATGTGCTGGGCTGGGTGCACTGGGGCAGACGTTACCGGCAGTGCTGGCCCTTTGAGCTGCTGGGACTTTGTGCCACGTGTTTGCACACCGGCCTTCGGGGACAGAAGCCTCCTGATCAATAAAGCCATAAACAGGTAGAACAACAAACCCTGGCCCTGCCGAAAGGGCAGCGGAAAGCAGCTGCCGTAGCAGAACGGGCGAGGAGCCCAGGGCTGCCTCGGCTCCCACCATCACCGGATGGAGCAGGGACAGGGACCCAGTGCTGGGAACACCCCAGACCCTGGGTGCCACTGCAGTCACAGAGCCAGTGTCTGGGGAGTGCTGGGGAAATGGCAGCACTTCTGCACAGACGCTGCCCATGCCCAGGGCTCTCCCAGCACGCAGGTAACCCACCTGCCGAGAGGCGGGGGCTAGGTTGCTAGGTCGCTGCCAGGGACCGAGCGCCGGGCTGCACGGGGGTGAGGTCGGGCTGGGGGCGTCTCTCAGGCAGGTGGATTTTTCACGCCCCAAGAGATGAAGCGGTACCCCAATAAATTCCTGGTGTAGACCAGGCCTAAGAAACACGAGTCTGTGGCTAAGAGCAGAAGAAACAGCACAAATTGTTACCATTACAGACCCTGCTGGGGGGAGGGGGCGTCCCATGAAAGGGGGCTCCTGGTTCCCAACTTTCTGAACGGGACACGCGGTGCGGGGCTGACCCTTGGGTGAGAAATCGCTCAGTGGACAGTGTGCAGCGTGCATTGGTGCGTGCTGAGCCCCCGGGGATCGGCCCAACGCTGACACACAGTGGAGAGCGCTGGAATTAGCCCTCCAAGCGCTCTGCCTGGCACCCCTGGGTGCAGCTTGCATTGCAGCAGGGCCTAGTTACAAGGAAGCTCAAGCAGAGACAGGTTCCTGGAACACTGGCCCTGGCACCCCGCCGCTCTGGGGCACTTGCGAGCTGCCACACATTTCCACATGCAGTACCTAGCAGCAGGAGGGGCTGTCTGGGTGTCTGTCCCCTTGTGCAAGGGATCTTAACACACCCCTAATGGGAAGGAAGCAGTTGACTCTGGGGGAGCAGAGATGCAGAGGCCTTTGGGGCATTTACTCTCCCCGCCCCAGTCCCCGTGGGCCCTGGAGGAAGAGCCTGAGCCCCCCAGCTCGGCAGGCTGGCGCTGTGATCCAGAGAACACGGCTCCTGGACCAGGAGGGGTCGGGCCTGCTGGGGAGAGAAGTCACGGGGGTCATGCTGGGAAGGGACACGGACGGGGGCAGCTGATCAGAGGACAGGCCCAGCCATCTCTTTGGGCCCCAGCCTGCACTCGCTGTATCCGTGCTCTCTGCAGCTGTCCATAGACAGACGGGCGTCCCACCTCACCTGCGGCAGTGCTTTGCCAGCCAGCTTGGGATCCTGCCAGCCCGGGGAAGCTGGCTGGCTCGTGTGTTCCCTCGCCCCTGCCCTGGCTGTGACGCTCTCTGGAAAGCAGGGTGAAGGAAGTTCCTCAGCCTTGGATCTCGAGCTCAAGGCCGAATGCAAAGCAGCATCACAATTTCAAGGACACAAACAAATCAAAGGTTTCCAGGACAACACGCAGCGATTACTCACCTGCCACTATCCCTTCCCGCACAGGAGCTGGGCGGGGCCACAGCAGAGCCGGTGGGACTCACAGCCAGTTCTCCATGTAAGGCTTGACCCTGCCCCATGGTATCCGGCTGGGGAGCCGGCAGGGAAAGTGACAGGGGTGACGCTGGCTGCGAGAGTCCGGGGCTGGGAGGGATGCCAGGCAGCGGGTGACGCTGGGGAAGCAGAAAGTGACCCACTGACAGTGGAAGGGGGATGTGGGAGTAACCTGAAGGGCTGAACCCCAGGGGTTACGGCAGTGCCGGGTTCCAGGGCCGAAGCCAGCAGGCAGGGATGCTGTTTGCACATGTCTCTGGCTCAGCCCCTTGGCAGAGAGACTGCGGCTGAATGGCAGGCAAGGAACCCAACCTGCCTCCTCGCTGCCTGGGAGCCCGCCCAGGTAGTGCTGGGGCCGCGTACGTGGGGCAACGCAGGCTGCCACCTGTGCTGGGAGAAGGGGGTGAACCCCACCCACCACTGACCCGGCTCCTAGGAGCGCGAGAACCACTCTGCCACCAGCCCCCTTTCAGTGCTCTCCCTGCCAGCAGGAGCCTGCCCATGGCAAGGCCTGGTCCCAGCCGTGGGTGCAGAGGGAAGTTCTCAGCAGTCAGCGAGGGGTTAACGCTCCCCGGGGGAGCCGTTGGTTAGTTCGGGAACCTGGGCGATTACTCGCAGCAGAACAATGCTGCCCATGTGCGGCAGTTTCATCATCTAGAGCCGACACCTGCTGAGAAGCCGCAGTAGCCGGAGGCGTGGGAATTGCACCCGGGGCCGAGGCAGCAGGTCCACTGGGTGCTGGGGGTGGCGGCCCAGAGTGAAGCCCAGGGAAGGGAGGTTATACTGAGGGGCGTCTCCACCAGCTCCCCATAGGGGATGGGATCAGCCCAAGATCAGAGGGGGGCAGGGCAGCTGGCAGCCAGTACGGGAGGGGACGAGGCACCAGCTCCGGAGTTTGTGCCTCTGGCCAGAATGAAGCAACCCCAGAGCAAAGGAGCCACCTGTATTAGCACTTTCAGCCCCCTGGCCCCTCACCTGCTGGGATCAGGGTCGGGGCAGGCTGGTAGAGGGCCAGGGCTAGCGGGGATCACGGGAAGTGCTCCTGTAGATGCAGCCGGGGGCTCGGGGATCGGAAGTGGCACGGGGGAGCCATCTCTCTGTAAATGGCTGGGCCAAGCCTGCCCCTGCTCAGCAGAATGGATGGGTCAGGGCCTGGTCCCAGCACATGGAGCATTCGCTCTCAGGGCCACCTGGATGGGAAGGGACTGCTCCCGCGGCCTGTGCGGAGCGAGTCCAGCTCCCAGCGGGCTGCTGTCCACATCAGAAGAAACAAGGGCCCTGATCAGCGCTCCCCAGAACAGTCAAGGGCTGCATGAGCCTCAGGCACTGTCGCCCCAGGACGGGGTCCCCGCCAGAGCAAGGCTGGATGGCTGTGCAGAACTGGAATCTGCCCCAGGCGCTCTGCACAGCCAGGGTTTTGCTCTGTTTGGCAGCGACCGAACCAGAAGGGACCCGGGCGGCTAGCGGACAGAGGAGCGCACCATGGCCTGCTCTTTTCACTGAGAAGTTTATTTGGTTCCATCATCACCGCGATGTCTTATAAATATACAAAACCAGGATCTTTCTGTAGCACTAACCCCAATAACTTAGCAATAAATAAGGGGAGGGTATAAATAAATCCCTACTAAAGTGCACATTTTGCTCAGACTCTTAGGTGGCATGAGCCCCCAGGGAGCAGCCCTGCGGAAACCTGCCTCTGGGGTTTATCCGTCTACGGGGGGAAGAACCCACCTCCCCAGGCACATAGGGAGGAGGGGGCTAAGTGACCATGGTGCAGCCGGAACAGGACCCTGCTGGGACTGGCAGGCCCTGCCCTTGGTGATTGCGCTGCACCCAACAAGGCTGCAGGGACTCTGGCCACACTAGTGTCCCCGAGCCACATCCAGCCAGTTCCAAGCTGCACAGGATGCAGGGGAGCTGAGACGCGAACAGGCCTGTTTGCTGGTGTCTGAACTAGCTGCTGGCAGGAGGGGCACGGAGGGGCGCGTGGGTCAATGCAGTGGGCCTTGGCTGCCAGGGGTCTGACTGTAAACGCGCCCATGCCATTGCGCCCAGGGGAACTTTGCGTCAGACGGCAGGTCTTTAAGAAGCACGTCAGTGGCTGCCTCGCTCGGCTCTGCCATGAGACTAGCTGGGCCAGCGGCGTTTGGTAACGGGGCTCCTGCGTGCGCCCTCAGGCACAGTGACACTTGGTGACGATCATGTCCTCGAAGAGCGTGGAGACAAGTCTCCCGTCGCTGTTGTAGTGCATGAGCACCATGGGGTCGTAGCCAGCGGGCACGCAGCAGGGGGCAGGCGTCTCTTTGGACAGGGTGTGCATTCGGGCTTTGATCTGGGCGTGCATGCTGGCCGGCTTGTAGTTGTGAGGGCAAGACCCTTCACAGAACTTCATGTAGTAGCTGTTTGGGGCGATCACCCAGTCGGACCAGCCGATGTCTTGGAAAGACACTTTGAGGGACTTGAGGCAACATTTCCCATCACTCTTTCTGCATTCCTCCTCTAGCGCCCTGGCTTTCCTCGGCCTGGAGCCCAGGTGCTCCTGGGTTTCCACCTCTAGGTTCAGCGTCTCAGCCCCCTGGCTGGTTCGGTTGGTGGCCAGAAAGGCAGAAATGTCTGCAGCGAACACCAGCTGCAGATGGAGCCTTTGCTCCGCGCTCGCTGCCCAATGCCGGACAGCGGCCCCCAGGTCGAGGCTCAGGGTCGTGGCATCGAGGACGTAGGAATGCAGGAGTTTGGGGTGCCCGTTGCGCTGCCCAGGCTCCGGCAGCTGGTAGAGCTCTACTCGAGACGGCCAGGAGGCATTGAGTCTGGAGACAGCCTGAGTGCTGAGAGATTTCTCGAAGAGTCTCAGCTCAGCCCTCATCACGCTGAGCTCCTGGTGGAAGGCCTCGGTCCGGGACACCACGAGATTGTAGCAGGTGCTGCCAGCAGCGGCTTCCGTCCGGCGCTCCACTGCAGAGAGAGGAGGCAGCGAAGGGTTAATAGGGGCTGCTTTTCCACATCGCCACTTTCTGGTCCTGCTACGAACTGCCCACCCCAGCACGAGCCAGCATCTCAGATTCCCCCTGGCATTCGAGGCGGCACGTGCAATGTGACACATGTGTTATCCTCGTGCGCCGCACACGTACACGTGTACATACCAGCCCTTCCGTGGCCGTGCACTGTTCAGAGTGAGGATTGCCCACCTCCACTCCAAGGGCACAACTGCCATGTGCTCGCTGTACCACTGTGGGGAAGCCCCTCTCTATAGGCCCCGTCTGTGCACACCCAGAGCTTCCCTAAGCCACCCGGCCTGGGGCTCCCCATGTGCCCAGCTCCAGGATATGAATAGCTGGGTCCTCACAGCACTCTTGGGCGATCCCCAGTGGGGGAAACTGAGGCAGAAAGTCGGGGACTTGTCCCAGGGCACACAGGCAGTCTGTGGCAGAGCAGGGCTGGGTCTCCTGAATGCCAGTCCAGTGCGTTAGCCCCGTGTTATCACAAGCCCCCGGTAAAAGTTATGCCCCCCCCCCCCATGAAGCAAACCGGGTTGAAAACCCCCCCCCCCCCCCCAACAAAACGTCCATGCTAGGCAAGGAACAGACAGACGCCTCCCCCCAGCACTGGCCCTGCCCAAGTCTTATAACAACTCCCAGGTCCCGGGCAAACCTCACCTCTGCATAACGCCCCCCTTCCCATTAACCCGCCCGTGTCCTCTGAATACGCAGCCAGTTCCGCTGGGCCAGGCAGGCCCCGTTTGCCCCTGCCCCCCACTCAGCCTCAGCCAAGCAGAGCTGCAGCGTTGCTGTTAAGGTTGACGATTAAAGGCTTTGATACAAGAGCAAAAACACGCCCAGGAGCAGCGACACCAAAGGGTCTGCGGCTGCCCCCGGCCGAATGTGCCCAGCTCCCCTGGCTCTGCTCTAACCGCTGGACCATCACTCAGGGGGACCCGCTTTAACCCTTGCCAGTGGCCTCTGCATCCTAGAGACAGGGCAGCGCGGGGCGACGCTTGGCGTGCCAGAGAGTCAACAGGAGGCCCGGGCACCACTTGGAGCCCAGAAGCCGCGGCGGGACAGGGTGTTTGCCGGCTAGCTGTGTGGGGAGGAGTCCTCGAGCAATGTCCCTGGCCATGCATGGGAGTCAGAGGCGCTCAGCACTTCTGGAATCAGGCCAAGGGACCAGAGCCAGTTGGCAGACCTGGGAACACACTCCAGGAGCCCTGACCCCGCCCTGTGCAGTAACTGTGGGACCATCCCACGCAGTGCTGGGGAATGGGCCTTTCAGCCCCTCCCTCCCAGGGGGCCTTTAACCCTGTCCCACACCGGCATGCAGACGGGTTGGGGGCAGGGGGAGCACATAACCTGACCCAGCCATGGGAGAGGTTTGCAAACCCTGGTCCCTTCACTTTCCCCTGCCCCAGCTCACGTTTCCTGGCCTGGGAGCATCGCCAGCCTTGGCCAGACAAAACCCAGAAGTCGGGGCCCAAATCAGGGGGTTAATAATGGCTGCTGGAGGCTTTTCATTCGCCTTCCTGCTTCAGGCCCCTGGGCTCCTCTCCGGTCCCAGCCTCCCTCCATCACGCTCGGGTCCCGGGCCCACTGGGCTGCTAGAAACCAGCTCCCTTTTCGCTGATACACGAAAGCCGAGATTTTCATGAAGCCACTTGCCTCCAGGAGCTGGGGCTGTAAATAAGCCAAGTATCACAAGAGTGAAGCCAGGGGCAGAAGTGGGACCTGAAACAGTCTAGGAAGTGCCCCATCTTGGCACCTTTCTGTTCCCCAGGGCCGTGGGAAGGGCCCAGAGGCAAGGCAGAGCCCAGGGCAGGAGAATTGCTGCTTCTAGGCCAGAGGTCCTGACAATCTTTGGGGAACCAGCTGAACTTGCAGGTGCTTTTGGGACCCAAACATCCAGCTTCAGCCCTGACTAATGGGCTACTGGAGAGCCAGGCCCAAGCCACTTCTGGCTAGTTTGAATTAGCAAAGTAAGGGGCTGCAAAGCCCCTGTGCCAGAGCTGCCGGCAGGACCCCGCTCTGCAGGAGCCGGCTGGTGTCAGCATGGAGCATGCGGAGCCGAAGGAAGACCTGATTCTGAAAAGGCTTTGAAGCAGCTGCTTCCATGTGAATCTGCCCCAGCCATTCTACCACGGCTCAGACCTGGGAGCACTTTGCCAAGGAAATCGGGAAGAGGGCAGAGACCCCCTCCCCAGCCAGGAGGTCCGGCTAAGGGAAGGGGACGTGCTCTGGCAGCTGGGTTCCAGGGCTGCCTGACCACCCGGAGCCCTGCGAGGAAGAGGGACCCCCGCGACTCCTGTGCGCTCCCTCCAGGCACCTGGAAAAACAAGGACTGGGCAAAGTCCCATTTGTCCCTTTCTGAAGGTCAGCACGGGCCGAGGGCCCCACAGCTCCCGGCTTACAGTCCCTACGCCCACCACGCACCCGGCCGCTACCGCCCGCGCAGGAGCAAAGCACTCCCCCTGGGGAAGGTGCTCCCCAGCCTTCTCCATGGGCAGACCCCCAGCCCCCGCGCAGGGCGCTGCACAAACACACAAGGGGAGACAATCCCTGCCCCAGAGAGCAGCCTGAGGGACCTCAGGAGGAATCCGCTCCCACGATTGCACAGGTCAGCGACAAGCACAAATCGACGGCTCCACGTTCCTACAACATTCTCCTTAAGCTAATAAATAAATAAATAAATATTGCTGCCCCGGCCCCGGCCGGCCCAAGCAGCAGGAGTTGGCCAGTTGCTGCAGCTGGTGTGTGCCTGGCGCAGCACTCACGGCTCCCGTCTCCCACGTGTGGGTCCACCGGCACTGAGACGCCAGTGTCAGGAAGTCTAAGAGGCCGGCTGAGCAAGGGGGTCTCAACCCCACCTTGGCTCTGCACTGGGCCAGTCCAACACCAAGCCCCCACTGCCCAGCTTTGCTGGACCCCAGACTGGCCAGCTGGGAACAACGCAGCCCTCTCCCTAGCTCCTGGGGCACCACAGGCGGGTTCCTCTGCGTTCCCAGGGCCGCATTTTCAAGAGCGCCTCAGGAATGGAGTCAAGGGGACGTGGGCTTCTAGGTCAGGGCAGCACCTTTGAAAGTTTCTCCTCAGCTGCTCAGAGAGAAAGTGAAACCGGAGGCACAGCCCAGGTGCCCGTGGACACGCTCGGCTCTCAGAGAACCAGAGGTTAGCAGGGACTGCCGGGGCAGCCAGGCCAACCCCCTGCCAAGATACAGGAGTTGTTGGGTCGCACCCCTCCAGTCCCCGTTGGAAACCTCCAGTGAAGGAGTTTCCCCGACTTCCCCAGGGTCTGCACCATTGTCCCACTGCTCCGACAGCCAGGACATTTTCCCTCTCGGTTGGTTTCACTTACGCTTTGGAGTCAGGAGGTGAAGCGTCCTGGGCGGGGCCGCCGCCTGACTTTCTTCCCTGCTCCGGTTCCCCCTCAGCTGGCTGAGTTTCTCCCTGTAGAGTTGGCGTGCTCTCCTCATCCCGTCCTGGTCCAGCCTCTGCCGGAGCACGGGGGGCTCCTGCAGCCCCAGCCGGTCCAGGATGCCCCTTTGGATTGTTTCGAGCTGACGCCTGTTCTCGGCCCACCCGTGCGGCCGCGGTTCCACGCCGGAGAGGAGCAGCAGCAGGCAGGTGGCGGCGTACCTGAAGTCCTGCATTGAGCTCTGCATTGTGCAATAGGACAGGCAGTGGAAGCGGCACTGAGGTTGTGCAATTTCTGTCTATATTTATAGCACACTCTGGACATGCAGCTTTCATCAATGTCTGTGAGGGAAATGAATGAAATGGACCAGACCTAGCTTTATACTGAGCTGAACCTTGCCCGCCCTCCACATCCCTCCACTCCCCCCCCACTCACTCGCTGCCTTACGTCACTGCGTGAGGCAGTAAACACAGATACAGCAGGAATCGCTCCTGTCCCCTGGCCTGGGGAAGGGAAGCTCAGCCCTGGTGGAAGAGCCGCCCTCCCAGCCAAGGGCGCTCGGCTGACATTTTATGAGAGAGCGCCGAGGCCTGGTGATTTGTGGGGTGTTTTGCAGCTATGGAGACGGCAGCAAAGCTTTAGAACCAAGAGATGCTTCTCCATGGCCGGCTCTTGGAACTAAGCATTTGCCTTCCATGTCCCCTTCTCTCCACTGACCTTGGTGGGTTAGCAAGGGGCTTGGGGAGTCCTCTCGGGGGCCAGCCAGTGCAGAGAGGTTTGAGGCAGGGGAGGTAGCAGGCAGCCGGGCACAGCAGTTTGGAGAAAATAAACCCCCCCCCCCCCCCCGAGCCTACCTGGAAGTCTCAGCAAGGCCAGCACCTTCCCAAGGCTGGAGCCATCCTGTTAACACTGCTGCCAATTCGTGCATTTCTGGCCCTAGTGCGGTGTAACCGCAGTGCTGCCTCGAAGGCTGGAAGCAGGTGTGAGATGTGGCAATTTCCTGCAATGGCCTTGCGAGACCTTATTGACTGAAGTTTATTTGTTCCCTTGAAGTCCATTGTGCAAGCTGCAGCGGGTGTGTCTTCCTGTGGCCTGGGGCTGTGGGGAACCCCTCTAGGGACAACCGCCATGGGGAGCCGGCGAGCTCAAAGAGCTCGCTGCCAGTGCACCAGGGAAGAAGGAAGGTTTGAGACAGTAACTGATAAGTGGATTTCCTAAGAAATACCCTGGCAGAGGTTATCGCAAATTCCCCACCTCCCGCTGTGTAAAAACCCAGGCTTTCGAAACATCACCCTGAGGTGTGTGATTGGCTGCTGATTACCTGTTCCCGGCGATCAAAGGCCCCGGCTCTATAAACAGGAGCTGAGCTGCCCAGCCCAGGGTCTGGCTCTAAGCGGAGAGCTATGAACTTGGAGCTACAGGAAGCCCCTGTGATGGGTTTGAGAACAGACGCCTGCCCAGGCGCGAGGCTGGCGCTGGGAAGCCTTGTAGCGAGTCTGCCCTTGTGTTGGCTCCCGGAGGTTTTCTCTGTAACACTCCCTCCTGCTCAGAGCCGTGGGCCGGGAGCCTGAGTGCTAGGCTGGAGGCAAAGCACAGCCTGGCTGGCCGGCCATGTCACAGCGTAACCAGGGGGCTGGGAGAGAGACGTGGGGCTCTGCCTGAGAGAGGAGCCGGGAGGGGGAATTCAGCTGCAGTTCCCTGACGCTGGGACAGCAGGACACAGATGCACACCGGACACTGGGCGCCCAAACTGAGCTGCTTGAAAGGCTCCCAGGTGCAAGGGCAGAGGGCTCAGCGTGCTCTGGAAATCAGATCCCCGAGGGGAGTCTCAGGCTGGGCTGCCAGAAATCAAGGTGCCCAACATCACCAGTCACTCTTGAAAATCTTGGCCGATGAATTCCTGGTTCCACTGTAACCCAGCCCTGCCCCAGGACAGCTGTGCCTGCCACACTCCGAGCCTGGCCTGGAGCCAGAATCGTTGGGGCAGACTCCGTCCTTGGGCATGTGGCTACCACCCCCTGGGAGCTAATGCTAGGGCTGACGCTGGTTCTTTGAGGTGCGACTCCCCTCCTCTGCTAGGCCGGCCTCCCCTTCCAGCCGCTCACACCTGGGCCTGCCCTCAGATGGCAAAGATGCAAGAGGCCTCCTGTCATATACTTGAATGTGGGGCCATTTCCTAAAGCGACCTGCAACCCCTGGTGAGCACCACACAAGAAGTGAAGCCGGCCTGGGGGCAGCGTGGGAGTCTACGTGGGCTCCAGGCGCACGCGTTGCAGTGAGCCGGGGAGCAGGGCTGCACTTGAACCCGAAGAAAGAAGAATTTTGCTGATGGGTCTGTGAGCCGCTCTCCTCTTCTCAGGCCTGCACGCCCCCCAGGCGCCAGCCCATGCACCCGGCTGGGACAGGACCAGAACTCCCCGGACCAGCACAGCGTGCGGAGGAAGGGTGCCCTCTAGTGCCCATGAAGGACACTTCTAGCTTCCACGGTGAGGGCTCCAGCATTGCAGGAATTGAAGCTAAAGGCAGGTGGCTGACCAGGCACCTGCCCGGGATGATGGGCAATGACACCCCTTCCTTTGCTTAGACAGCTGGAGCCCAGGAGAGTTGGCGCCTAGCCTGAGTCTTGCTGTTACCTAGTTTCACAGCTGGGCTGGCTGAGGCAGAAGGAGGTGATGTGGCTCCCCCCTAAAGCGAGCACGACGCAAGGTTCTCTTCAGTGGAGGGAACCACAAACATCTCACAGGTGGCAGCCTCCCCCGGCCACAATCTTCCCCCAAGCCCCATTTCAGCTGGAGGGAGGCACAGATCTGGGGGGGTTACGACCAGAAGGGACCATTGTAACAGCCCGAGGACAAGGCGCTCAGAGCTTCACATTTAACATCTGCTGCAGGACGGATTCTGCTGTTCTGTGCTGCTTCCTGGCTGGAGCATATTCAGGGCAGGACCTCACCCCTGCCACTGTAGGAGAAGCCTGATGATCTCTGGTGCCTCCTGGCTTCTTTCCTGGCCCTGTCGCCTCACTGAATAACTGGGGCACGTCGGGAAGGTACAGGGGGATACTTGCCTGTTCTCAGGGGACGAGGGGGATCTGCAGCGATTCAGACTCTGCTGAAAGGCGAAGGATCATGACTGAAGCCATGGCCCACACCAGCTGACATGCGCCAAGACGGAGCCGGACAATTCCCTCCACAGAGATCACACTGAACTGGACAAAGCATGAGCCCAGCCCGGCTCCCCACTGCTTGGACCAGTGCAGATGGCTGGGATGGGACTCGGAGGGTCTGCCCCCTCTGGCAGTGCACAGGGTCCCTGCATCAACCAGGGGCCCGGCTTGGGCGCTTGCGAGCAGCAGAAGAGGTCACTGAACAGGGGATCTCTCAATTCAGCTCACACATGGGACAGAACCACCCTAGAAGACGGACACTGATCTGAGCAGAGATCTTGGCAGGTTGGTACCAGACATTGCTAGGAAATACACTGTCAGGGGCTTCACTCAGCCCAGGCTGTGGCCTCTTCCCCCTGCTTTGAACATCCAGCTGCTTTAGTTCTAGTTCCTCTGGGCAGAGCTAAATTGGTGGTTGCTGATAAAACCACAGAGCCTGCTTCTCCCCTGCCACAACTTCCCTGAACTCTGGTGAGTCAATGTGAGAGGAGCCTGAGCTCCCAGCCACACACTCTTCTGCTCCCCGGCCATTGGCCCCAGCAGCAGCGCCGGCTGGGCTCCCAGCCCCTTGGGGAGTGTTGTTTGGCTGGAGATTTAAGTGATGGCACTTGTGGGGGTGCCATGCTTAGCACCAGGTACGTCCCTTAGGGATGAGGGGGTTTGTGACATTATCGACATGAACTGTGACCGTATAGATCATTGTTGCAACCAAGGTCCTATAGTTGCACCAAATCTTGTGCAAAGGAGGTCAAGTAAGGGGTCTATAGAAAGGTTGTAATTTGCTGGTTATGATGATGCTGGCTGTATGTGTGTATCATTTTTGTATTTGAAGTTATAAATATTGGCTCTGTACTTGTATCTCAATGTGTTTGATTCTAAGTAGCCTCAGTGAAGCATTTGGTCAGCTTCTTGAGAAAGGACTATTCTCAGTAATTGCCCAATCAAGAAACACTTAGCTGACAATGGACTTTGGGAGACGCCAACCCACATCTGAGCTTTCCTGGGGACGTTCAAACTAACATGTAAACAATGGCATCGATTCAGCTTTTTGCAGGCCGTTCATGGACATGTGACTTGCCCAGGGGGCTACAAACTCCATCTTGTTGCTGTGACTTTGCACAGAAGAGCAAAAGGGTTTCCACCTACAAGAGAGAGAATATAAAAGGCCCTGGAAGTCTCTCCAATTTGTTTACAGCTGGTCCAAGAGAGAGCCTCTCCACCTGTGACGAAGTGGGACTGTTCTTCATGTTTCCTCTGAATACTGTGTGGGTGCCTCAGTTTCCCCTATGCATTTCTTAAGTCTCCAGTGTGCATAAATGGCTGACAGTTTGTCTCCTAGCAACAAATGGCTGGGGCCCCTCTCCCCTGCAAGGGAATAGCTAAAGGTGAACAAAGATCAGGTGACCTCCTGGCCTGGGAAAGAGACAAAGGCCAGAAAGGAGGGGCTGGAGGGGGTTTTCAGTTTGGAGCTGGCTGGGGACGGGAAGTGAGGGCAGACAGGGTTGTCTGGCTCGCTGGGCCCCAGAATGGACCCGGCTGAGGGGTCCCGTTCTCTGGACCTACAAGCTCTGTTTTAGACCATGTTCCTGTCATCTAATAAACCTCTGTTTTACTGGCTGGCTAAGAGTCACATCTGACTGCGAAGTGGGGGTGCGTGCAGGACCCTTTGGCTTCCCCAGGACCCCGCCTGGGTGGACTCGCTGTGGTAAGCGCACGGAGGGGCATATGCTGAATGCTCCAAGGTCAGACCCAGGAAGGTGAAGCCGTGTGAGCTTCTTGCCCTGGAGACAGTCTGCTCCGAGGGAGAGGAGGCTCCCCAAAGTCCTGACTAGCTTTGTGGGGAGCAGTTCCAGAGCATTGCCCGGGGACTCCGTGACACCACCCCCAAGAGATGCCTGAAAGAAACTGGGACAAAGGACAGTAACTATGGCAGTGGGAGTGATTGCTGGACCCAGACCATAAACTACAACATTGGTCTGAAAAGGATTGGGCCCAGACTAGGAAGGAGTCCAGTCTGTGAAAGAAGGGTGAGATTTACCTGTAGTCAGTTTCATACTGTATTAGGCTTAGGCTTGCGTGTTTTG